GTGGTTGGTTACACACAGGTAAAAGTGCCACTATTGCATCACGGAGGATAGCTTGCTGGGTCAGTCTTTGTGGTTCCTAAGCTTCACAGCTGCATTAGCTGAGTAGAGTCATTGGTTACTTTCATGGTACATTCTGATACCCTGGGAGCTAGTCCTCATGGAGGAGGCTTCAAAGTCGTTCGTGTCTAAAATGTGTGGTGTCTTCTCCAATAGTCTTTTCTTGAAGTTCAAGGAGGCAACTTACTGTTTACACAATCGTTGTCTTAGTGATTTCTACTGCTGCTGTTGCTTCTTCTTCACCTTCATTTTTGACGTCGTGGCCACTTGTGCCTTTCTGTTACTAAATGTTCATTGTTTTAGACTTAAAATGTTTAAATGATGTGTACTTTTATGTGTCTGTGTATGTGTGTGCAGTGCCATCAGAGGCCAGAAGAGGGCATTAGATTCTTTGGAGTTGGAGTTAAAGATGGGATCATAAACTGCCCAATTTGGGTACTGGGAATCAAACTCAGGCCCTCTGCAAGAGCAGCAAGCATATCTAACCACTGAGTCATTTCTTTTTTTTTTTTTTTTTCGAGACAGGGTTTCTCTGTGGCTTTGGAGGCTATCCTAGAACTTGCTTGGTAGTCCAGGCTGGTCTCGAACTCACAGAGATCCACCTGCCTCTGCCTCCCGAGTGCTGGGATTAAAGGCATGTGCCACCAACGCCCGGCCACTGAGTCATTTCTTTAGTCCCTAGATTTCGTTTTAATGGTGTTGTGGACTTCAGTTATGCATCTGAGTCATAAGTCAATACAATCTTGTTGCTGAGCCTTTAAAGTATTTGGTGAACAGCTTGGGGGGCAATGCTCCTGAGAGCCCCACTTTTCAATATGCCTTTTAAAAAATGGAGTTAGAGCCATGGAAATAGAATTGCTGTGTCTGGACTTGCAAGGTTGCCCTTCAGAAGTGCCTATCTGGTTGACAGTGCACAAGAGAGTTTTCTTCTCTCTGAGTCTTTTCAGTTGCCATTGTGAATGCAAAGACTCATGGTTATAAACACTAGCTTAAGGTTTACCCATGCCTGGGTTCATATCCTGACTCTCATCTACAGTTGTATGACTTGGGGGAAGTCTTGGAACTTCTATGGAATTTATTTATACACTATCAGGGAGTGGGAGAAGGAAGGGGTTATTGCTTGCTGTCCACCCCGCCTTTTTGAGGCGGGGTCTCTTGTTGGGCGAATAGGCTAGTTTGGCTGACTAGTGAGCCCCAGGGGTCCAATTGTCTTGACTTTCCAATGCTGGACTACAAATGCACAGTACTCTACCTCTGTGCCTTTCTTTCAATGTGTGTGTGGTGTGCAAACGAGTCCCAATACCCTCAGTGGCTAGAAGCATTGGCACTCCATACATTTGGAGTTACAGGCAGTTGTGAACTGCTTGATGGGTACTGGGAACTGAACTTGGGTCCTCTGAAAGTTTGGTATGTACGCTTAAACCCTCAGCCATCTCTCCAGTTGCAACATTCAGCTCTCTTTACACAAATTCTGAGGCTCTAACTCAGGTCCTCATGCTTGAGCGTCAAGCTCTTCACTAACTGAGTTATCATCTCAGGCTTTCAAGATGGGAGATGTGGCAATGTTTCTCTGGTCAGCAGAGGGACTCTTCCTTCCTGATCTGGCTGTCTTGCGTGGGAGGACTGTCAGCTGAGCAGCCAGCTGTTAGCTCTCTTGAACACCCATGGAAGTCTTCAGAAAAGACATCTCTGGGTCTTGCAGATGTGGCTGCAGCCAGAGAGCTTTGCACCAGTCGGTAACTGGGTTTTGCTATCACAAGTCTCAGTAAACTCTACATGACCTGCACCTATTTCCCCCCTAGGTCAGATGGGGACTACCTAGGCTGAGGGCCCCTGACTGGTGCTGAAGGCTGTGAGTAGGGCCACTACAAACCCCTGTTTTCATGCAGGGTGTGCTGTGATTGGTCCACACACCCCTTCTTGGGTTATGTAAACAGGCTGCTTAGAGAGCTGACTCTAGACACCCTCCTGTCTTCCGATGAGCCAACAAACACTCCCTGCAAAGCCTCCCCCCCCCCCCGCTGTCTGATGTTACCTATTTTTAGTAATAGAGTCTAGGCTGGGAAAATGAAAACGGAAGTAGTAGAGGCAGCAGACTGGGAGCAACAACAGAGGGTGGCAATGGGAGGAGCAGTGACATGAGAGGTCACAGCAGGCCAGGCAGAAAAACTGAGAGGGTAAGACTGAAGATGCAGCTAAACGGCAGAGCACTTGCCCGGCACACATGTGGGCCCAGGTTCAAGAATAAATATTTCTGACAGGAATAAATATTTAAAATAATTGTCAAGCCACTTGGCTGCTTGGCATCTGAAAAAGAGGCTGTGGAATCCCCACACCTAGGCCTGCCCAGAAGATGGGATGCAGCCGAGGGCTGAGGAGTCAATCCTACCTTCCTATGCCTGCCTGACAACTGCAACATGCAAGGCTAAGAGTAACGGTTCCCAAGGCCCGCAGGGATTGGAGCACGAGTTGACTTTACCTGCTATTGCTCCAACCTGCCACTCACTGAAAGATAAGCTAAGGAATTAGAGCAGCTGCTTGTTTGCTGCCGGTGGCCCTGAAGATCAGCCTACAAGCGCACAAATAAGTTACGATGATTAGATATGCTGGAGTTTGGAGTGAAGCAAAATGAAACGTAATTTAATCATTGCTGTTGTTATTACTAATCTTTTCTTTGGAAATTTCATATGTGGACATGATGAAATATGATCATACCCACCCACTCCTGTTTCAAACATAATTTCTAAAAAGTGGATGGAGTTCCTTGACAGATAGTATCTTCCCTTCCCTTTCAGACAAATGTTCAGCTGCAGAGCAGACAACCAACAATGGGAGTGATGAAGCCTACATTTTAATAAATTTGGGGAACTTAAGAGGGCTCATTGCATGCTAGATTCTCCAGGAGGCACATGAGTGAGAAGTTTTTAGTTTGTGATCAGAATGTCAGAAGTTCTCATTAGACACAGGGATGGTACATTAGGCAATGCATTATGGAAAATAGTGTGTTGGAAGTCCCAAGTACTATGCTCAGGGAAAGCTATTCAAATGTTAGACTCATAGATGATGAATGGGCCACATCTAATTTAACTGCCCTGTGTTTTCTTTTCATTAAAAGCAACTAAGCCATCACAAAAACCTGTTTTATATTTGGGATCATTTCACACAATTTAACCTTGCTTCTCTGAGTCAGTGTCCTGACACTGTTACTAGAGCTCTTTCTTGGACCTTGGCTAGCATGAAAGTGTCCTTCATATCCTTCATGACTTTGGAAACTCCCTTGAACTTTTTGGTAAGTCCCTTGGACTAAGTTAGACATTTGGTGGTAGTTCTGATTGGTTCACTTTCCCCCCTAGTATGACCCTGACCTAAGCTCTTTGATTACAGTGGAACCCAGCACACTTTTCCCATGTGTGTGGTGAAGGCTTGTGAGGCAATGACTCAGGCTAAAGTTATCTGGGAAGATCCAGTCCAACTGGTACTCTAATATACATCCTAGTGTGATTGGCACATGTTAAGCTGTAATAGAAACATCTGGAACCAGGTGTAATCATGCAGAGCTGTTTGTATTAGTTTTCTTGTTTCTTTGATCAAATACCTAGAAAGAAGCAACTTAACAGAGGAAGCGTTTACTCTCTTTCTCACAGTTTAAGGGGATACAGTCTGTCATGCCGGAGATGGCATGACAGCAGGCAGCTTTCACAGTGACAGGAGTATGCAACACTACTAATCTTACAGCAGAGAATGGACAGGAAGTGAAGCCAAGGCCCGCTCCCAGTCACCCACTTCCCCCAGGGAGGATATTATGACCTTCCAAAAGAGCTCCACCAGCTGGGAAACAAGTGTTCAAACGTATCAGCTTGAAGAACACTTCACATTCAAACCACAACAGTCTCACTCTGATCCATGTTCAAATTCCATACAGGTTTGTCAGACTGGCTTGATAGGATTCTTACATCTTTCCTGAGTGACCTCCCTTGATTGTTACCATGCTCCCCTCCTCAGCTTTTCTCCGGCCATGCTCTGTCAGAAACATCATCAGCTGAATCTACCACACTTTATGAGGTTGACAGATGAAGAAAGGGCAAGAAATCTTGAGAACAGGGCATCAGAGACCAAGAAGTTGGCATTCACCAGTGTCCCTGAGAATTCATTGGGCCATCTGAATAACAGGGAGTGTAGTGGCATCTTTCCTTGCCAGTGAACTTGAAGAAGTGGTCACATCCTTTGGTAGTGGTTTCAGGTGCAGACATGATTGTTTTAAGGTAGAGAAGCTGCAGGCGGGCACACACTCTTTCTCTAGCATGCACTCTCTGGGGTCGTGGAGAGCAGGAAGACTGTGGTGGTTATTTACTCTTATTTGTGTTGCTCCCAAATAAAACACCTATTTATCTTTATCTTGGGTCTGGTGAACTCATTTAAACCCCACCTTCAGGGGAACCTTTGAGGGCCATTGCTGTACTTTGAACCAATGTTTATATGTTGGAATCTTAACCCAAAGTGATAATGTTAGGAGATGGGTTCTTTGGGGGGGTGGAGATCTCACAAGTGGAATTGGCATCCTTAAAAGATAGGCCTATGGCAGGAGTGAAGACTAGGGGAGCTTGTCCTCTTCTGACTCCCTGTGTACAGTGAAAAGGTACCATCTGTGAAGCTAGAAGCAGGCCCTTTCCAGACACTGAGTCTGCTTCCCAGCCTCCCAGAAACGTAGCTGGTAAACTACCCATTCTAGGATACTTCCTGCTGGTTAGATTTTTGTCAACTTAACATAAATTAGAATCACTAGGGAATAGGGAATCTCAATTGAGGAATCACCTCCAGTTGATCAGCCTGTGGATTTGGCTGTGAGACATTTTCTTGATTAATGATTGATGTGGGAGTGTCCAGCCCACTGTGAGTGGTTCCAGAGCAGGTGGGCTTGGGCTGTATAAGAAAGCAAGCAAGCCATGGGGAGCAAGTCATTAAGCAGCGTTCTTCTGTGGTCTCTACTTAGACTTCACTTCCAGGATCCTGCCTTGAGCTCCTGCCCTGACTGCCCTTGATGATGGACTGTAACCTGTAACCCAAACAAAGCCAAGCTGCTTTTGGTCAGTGTTTTATCACAGCAACAGAAAGCCAACTAGAACACTTTTTGCTAGAGTACTCTGGACTGGACTTACAGAGACTTGTAAAGTCGAAGATGGGCCTAAACATCCTAGAGAGGCTGGAGATCATGTGGCAATAAAAGTGCTTGGAGATCCAGCGGTGGAAAGGTAAGACCTGATTAATGAATGTGGACCAGGTCTTCTTCAGGGTTATAGTTATATTTAACACTTACTGTTTTAAGAATATTTTGTTTTTGTTTTTCGAGACAAGGTTTCTCTGTGTAGATCTGGCTGTCCTGGAACTCGTTCTGTAGACCAGGCTGGCCTTGAACTCACAGAGATCCACCTGCCTCTGCCTCCCGAGTACTGGGACTAAAGGCATGCACCACCACTGCCGGGCCTTCAGAATTCTTTTAAATCATAAAAATTGCGTGTGAACGTGAATACAGATGTCTGATATGGGTCCTGAAAACCAAACTCAAGAGGAGTAAATGCTCTTAACCACCAAGCAATCCTCCGGCCCTTTTAGCACTTATTCTTGTGGTGACTGGCGTGGCACTTGGCATTGTAGGTATTGTCTACTCAGCATTTTCACTGCGTGCCTGTCAAGGCAAGAACGGTTTTTCCATCATCTCTTTTTCAGTTCTGGGAAGAGAACAGCACTTTGCATATGGGAGGCCAATTTCCCATCACTCATCACTGAGGTATGCCCTTGCCCTTTTATTTGTCTTCTTCCATTGGGGCAGAGTCTTGCTGACTTCCCCAGGTTGTCCTGAAACCTGCTATGTGGCCCAGGCAGGCTTCAAACTTGTGAGTCTCCTGCTTTAGCCTGACAAGGAGAAGCAGGGATCAAAGGTGTCATCTACCATACTCTGCCATCATTGTGTCTCTACTGTACTCTACTTGGACTGTATGGATGTGTATGACATGTGTATGTTCATGTATGAGTGTAGGTGTGCTCATGCCATGATGGAGAGGTTAGAGGACACCCTTGGGCGTTGGTCTTTATCTTCCGCCACATTGAGGCAGTGTTCTTGTGGTTTGCTTCTGTGTGCCCCAGGCCCTCTGGCTTCTGACTTCCCGAGATGCTCTGTCTCCTCCTGCCACCTCAGAGTAGCAACACTGGCATTATAGATGCCTGCTACCACATTAGGCTTTAGATAGATTCCTGAGATCCAAACTGGGGGTCCTCATGCTTTGGCAGCAAGTTCTTTACCCATTGAGCAATCTCTCCAGTCCCTTGTTTGTATGAATTCTGTTTTTTTATAGCTTGTTTATATACTGTCTTCGGAAAGTTCCTTTTTAATCTATATTTGGGGACGGGTAGCCACAGTTTGTACCCAATGTGTTCTTGCCCCAGTCATAGTGATGGCTGGTGGAAAATGAGTAATACATGCTTCCACCCGGGAAGAATGTCGTCTGTTAAAGGAAAACTTAAAGTGCACATACATTACATTTCATGTAGTAGTGGTGTACACTGAGCTTGGTGGCAACACAGGAAAAAGTCTCTATTGGACAGAGAGGAGAGGAGAGGATTCTCAAGGAAAGACCCAGATTTCAGGCAAGTGTGAGAAGTTTTAGTCTGATGCCAAACTGTTTGCAAATCTATGGTAAGGAAGCACATACTGTACTTTAAAGAATATAAAATGCAGCAATTACACTGTGCTTTGTTAGTAGACCATACATTTTAAAAATAAATGATAGTGTTTGGGGTTTTATTTATGTGAAATTTTAATGCATAACTCAGAATGTTAGACACATGGTCTTGCTATGTAGCCCAGGCTGGCTCCAAACACATGATTCCACTGCTTCAGCATCTCAAGTGCTAGGATCATAGATGTCTACCCCAATGTCCAATTAGCATTCATGGTTTTAATATGAGCTGCCTTATATAGTTGAAGGCTGGGAAGGCCATGATGTAGAGGTTTTGTTTTGCTAACTGGTGCTTCTCACTTCAGGATCTTATAAAATTAGGTTGTTTGATAATGAGGAGTCTAAGAGTTTCTTTTCTAACAGCACGGAGCTGCAAGTGTGTCAGCTACAGTGTGAGCAGTGAGACTGCAGAGAAAGGGGCCATGGAAATGTTCACTCCATCCGTCATTCCTGGACGTCCCGGGCAACAATGAGCCTTTGCTTATTTATAATTTACTTATTTTGTGTGCATGTTTGTGTGTGCATGGACACCTGTGTGTGCATAATGTTGAGGTCAGAGTTCAACCTTGGGTGTCCTTCTTCTTCCTCTTCCTCTTCCTCTTCCTCTTCCTCTTCCTCTTCCTCTTCTTCTTCTTCTTCTTCTTCTTCTTCTTCTTCTTCTTCTTCTTCTTCTTCTTCTTCTTCTTCTTCTTCTTCTTCTTCTTCTTCTTCTTCTTCTTCTTCTTCTTCTTCTTCTTCTTCTTCTTCTTCTTCTTCTTCTTCTTCTCCTTCTTCTTTTACTTTGTTTATTTAACCACAGTCCTGGGCATCTAAAGGCATGACAATGACACCAGCTCAGCTCCGGTGAGGCCCCCCACAGTGAAATTATGGACATGAAAAGAAGAAAGCCTCACCCCAAAATCTGAAGAAACTCCCCTGCTGAGACTAGAGAGTTTGCTTATGTGATGCCTTTCTTCTTTCTCAGCTGAAATCCACAATTTTCTATATTTCTGACCAGAAACTCCATTTACAGGAAAAGAACAACAACACCCTCTCAAAAACAAACAAACAAAAACCCCACCACCAACAAAAACAAAACAAAAACCATGTCCCTCGTGTAGTCCCATTAGCTTCTGCTTCATCTGACCAGACTGAAGTTCCATTCAAGGTATCTCCAGAGTCACTCTGTGATCTCCTTTACCAAGTCAAACCAAACCAAAACAAAGGAACACAAAACTTCCTTGCTGCCAATCTCTGCTCCTGACTTCCGATATCAACTCCCACCTGAACACTCATACCCTCATCAGGATGGAAGAATGGCTCCATGATGTCACTGGCAGGAGGTCCCTTAATCTTCTAGGGATCTGGACCCAGATAAAATGGAACGCTTGCTTTTGAGGAAGTAAAGAATTCCGTGAAATGAAGTTGGGGTTTATTAAAAATGGAAAGACTGAGGCGCACTGCAGAGCAGGCGCGGGCCACTCAGCCACCCGAGTCTTGGCATAGCCACCTGTGCCGTTCAGCTGGGCGCCATTCTTTAGGCCCTGTCCACCCTGGTTTTTGAGACAGGGTCTCTTACCGGCCTGGAGCTTACAAATGGTCTAGGTTGATGCACCAGCAAGCCCCGAGGGTCTGCCTGTTTCCAGCTCCCCAACACTGGGATTACAAGTACTAACCACTATGCCTAGTTTTTTTTTTTTTTAAATCTGGATTCTGAGGCTGGAGAGATGGCTTAACAGGTAAAATCACTGACTGCTCTTTCAAAGGACCCATGTTTGGTTCCCAGCACCATGTGGTGGCTCACAACTGTCTGTAACTCCAGCCTTTGGGGATCCAACGTTCTTGGGTGACCAGCATGCACTTGTTGCACAGACTGTCACGCAGCTAAAACAGCTATACACATGAAACGAAAACCAAAACAATGCTGGGGTCTGGGACTCAAGATCAGGTACTTATGATATGTGACAGGTAGCCATGTCCGCAGCCCTAATTTGTTTTTTTAAAGTTGATTCCATGTATAAGCACATTCTTTTTTTTTCATTTTTTATTTAACTTTTTACACACGTCACTCTCAGTTCCCTCTCCCTCCCCTCCTCCCCCACTCCCCAATCCTCCCAACCCCTCACCCCACTCCATCCCCCCTCCATTCCCCAGGGAGGGCAAGTGCTTCCATGAGGGATTTTCAGGGTCTGTCACATCTTCCCGGGAAGGGTCCAGCTTCTTCCTCATGTGTCCAGGCTGAGAGAGCATCCCTCCATGTGGTATGGGTTCCCAGAGTCCATCTGTATGCCACAAATAAATACTGCTCTACTCTCCAAGGTCCCACAGAGATTGTCAAGGCCTCCACTCTGTCACCCAGGTTCGGTAGGAGGGTGTCTGGATCAGTCCCATGATAGCCCCTCAGTCATCAGTCAGGGATCCATGTGTTCCCCCTTGTTTAGGTCAGCTGCTTTTGTGGGTTTTGCCAGCCTGATCCTGATTCCTTTGGTCATCACTCTTCTTTGTAACTGGGTTGCAGGAGTTCAATTCGGTTCACAGCTGTGGGTGTCTGCCTCTGCCTCCATCAGCCACTGGGTGAGAGTTCTAGAGTTCTAGGATGGATGGCATATAAGGTAGTCATCATTCTCAATATCATGGGAGGGCATTTAAGGTAGCCTTAATGCCAGCTGGTGTCATTCTTGTAGATCTGTGAAGATCTCACTAGTGCCAGATCTCTCCTCTGACTTATAATGGCTCCCTCTTTTACAGTATCTCCCATCCTTTTCTCCTCTATTCTTACCCTGGCCCAACCTCCCTGTTCTCCCATGTCCTCCTCTCCCCTACTCTTTTCTCCCTCTCTCCCATTTCCTTCTGCCCCCCTCTACCCCCATTCCAATTAGGAGATCTCATCCCATAACCCTTCTCTGGGTTACCATGCATCTCTCTCTTAGAGTCCTCCCTGCACCCCAGACTCTCTGGTAGTGGGATTGTGGGCTGGCAGTGCCCTGCTCTGTGTCTAAAATCCATGTATGAGTGAGTACATACCATACTTGTCTTTTTGTGGCTGGGTTACCTCACTCAGGATGGTTTCTTCTAGTGCCATCCATTTGCCTGAAAATTTCAAGATTCCATTTTTTTCTGCTGAGTAGTACTCCATTGTGTAAATGTACCACATTTTCTCTATCCACTCTTCAGTTATAAGCACATTCTAAAATGACTTCATCAAACTATACAAACTGTGACCCATGGCAGGAAATATGTTTGCACCCACAGAAATCCTGATCAGCTCCAAAGAGCCACAGGCTTAAACTTGTTATGTGTTTAATTTCAGCTGGTCTCCTCTGTTTTTCTGCTAGTGTCTGAGGAGGACTCTTTCATCTACATTCTGGGTGATAGATGTCTCTGGGAAAGTCTACTTCCATGGAAACCATTTTCTTTCTAAAATACCTTTAGTAGGTAGTTATGGGTTTGTTTTTTTTTATTAATCAGTTCTCACTGATCCTTCAGAAACTAAAAAGTCTATTTTTCCTTTTCAGGCTTGCAGAACATATTGAAGGCATCAGGAAATCTTACCCATCAACATTTGTACAACTTTGCTTCTATTTTTATTAGTGAAAATGAGAGAATTTTCTTTTATCTATTTGTGGTATATAAGCATACTCACAGGAAGTCTTATGGTGTGCAGGTCAGAGAACTACTGTGAGAATCAGTTCTTTCTTTCCCTTCTGTGGGTTCTGGGGATAAAGCTCAGGTTGTCAGGCTTGGGAGTAGGTGCTCTTAATCACTGAGCCATCTCACTGGCACTCAAAAATTTCTTTCTGTTAAATCATATTTTATAACTATATCCTTCAAACTTCTTTAATGAAATATTTGATATTATAGTTGTGCTGGCAATGTAAAAAAAACTTGTGGTACTTTTGCTTTTTCTATGTCCTGGACTACTTTAGCAAAAGAACAATGTTTTTAAAGATTATCCAAAAATTTTCAGCAGGTCACCAAAAGTCTTATAGCAAAATCTAACAAAGATGGTATAAAAGGAAAACTATAGGCTACATCTTCCTTGAACACAGATGAAAGTCTTATGCAAATTGAATCCAACAATGTGTAAAATGCACAAATACATCTTTGGTGGCTAATTTTAAACTTGACCACCTAGAAACACTGGAAAGAAAGTCTTAACTGAAGAATCGTCTCAATAAGGTTGAACTGTGGGCATGTCTGTAAGGGATTGTCTTAATTCTTAACAGGGGTGGGAAAACCAAGCCCACTGTGGTGATTCCATTCTCTATGTCAGGGGTGTTGAACAGTATAAGAGGAAAAAGCCAACTGAGACAAACAAGCAAGGATGTGCTCATCCTCTCTTTGCTCTTGACCTTGAATATGATGTGATGAGCTGCTGCCATGACTTCCCTGCTGTGATGGACTGCCACCTGGAATAATGAGTCAGTCAATTGCTTCCCCTGCAGGCTGCTCTTTGGTTAGGGTGTTAAGACACAGCAACAGAAATGAAGTAAAATTAGATCTTTTTCATTAGTGACAGGTTGGTTTCCTGTTATGGTAAATTAACCTAATTTACCACAATAAAAGAATTAAGACAAAAAGGCTACAAGATCCTCTTTATAGATAATGAGAAAAGAATTTGATAACACCCAACATTTACTCCTGATAAAACCTCTTCTCAAAGAACAGAGGGAAATTTTCTTAATCTGATAAAGGGTTTGTCAAAAAATAAAATCAGAACTCCACAGTTTACATTAGACTTCATGGTGAAATACTTAGCATTTCCCTATGAATTTAGGAACAACCCTAGATATTTCTTCTAAGTATGTATGCTTTTTAAAATGCACATTATAGAGGAGTTTGGTGTTTAAGGCAAGAAAAGTCAAATAAAGTTAAAAAAAAAAGGTAAATATGTATTTGAAAGGAAAAGCATGACTATGATTGTCCCTAACTGTAGAAAGTCTAAAACAATACATGTACCACTGTCATTTAGTAAATTTAGCAAGATTTTGTACAATAGCAATAGACAATTTGAACATAAAATTAAAATATATCATTTCTAAGAGAGTTAACTGCCTCAGCCTGCTGAGTGCTTGGATCAAAGGCATGGAAGGCCACACCTGACTTCCACCTTACTTGTTGAGATAGGTTCTGCCACTGGAACCTGAGGCTCATCATGGGGCCGACTGGCTAGGGAGCCCCAGAGAGCCACCTGTCTTTGCTCCCCGCAACCTGGGATTACAGTTACACCATGCTCAGGGCCTCATGCTTGCATGCATGGCAAGCATTTTATTTTACTGACAGAGCTATTGGTCCCAGCCTGGCTTTCCTTTTCCTTTATTTTTTTCTCCATCCATACCCATGTTTGTTATTCATTTGTCTGCCATTGTTCCTAATCCTGTTTCTTTTATGTTCATCTCTGTTTTATTTTCTTTTTGACCTCCATGTTTCTAAGCACATTTGGACAGACTTCCTTCTTTCTTGGATACTTTATGATATGACCTCCATTTTTGAGTCAAATTTCTTGCAGTCTTTCCTGAGCTTGGCCAGTTCTCACTCCTTAGCTTTTCCTGTGAGTACCGGTTTCTGATCCGTGATATCATATTAACAACTGTCTGGCTGTAATTAATTAGTCGCTATTTTATTATTGTCTCTTCTGTTTCTTGACCTGGGCTTAACGGTTTTGTTGTGTTTTCAATTTCCACAGAGATGGTTTTCGTTTTATATTTGCTATTTATAGTAGCACAGGTAGTGATATCTCCTTTATTCCCATGGCTATTGGTTGGACTTTCCTGTATCATTGAATAGTAAGGCAAGTGTCTCCCCTCTATTTGAACTGTGGTCCCTTTAATGGTGCTTTCTGTTCTGTCTTCTCTGAATTGTTTCTTATGTGATTATAAAAGACCTTTGCTTTCAGCCACTTCCTCCCTCTCCTCACCACCAAACCTCTAAAGGACATTTCACTTTCCAAGGTTCCCTTTACAGCCCCAGGCGGCACCTTTTCTGCATTGCAACCTGTGGTCTAGCACATTTTCTAAGCTCTTTTGTCAAAAATATCCAGAAGTCAGTGCTATGGTCTGAGGTCTCAGATACTTTCTCATTGTTTTTGCAATAGAGAGGAACCCTTTCCTTCTAGAAGCAAAACCTTAGATGATGATATGTATTTAACACCACCATTAAAGCTACCTGTCAGCTAGGCATGGATGTGTACACCCTGAATCCTAGCACTGGGGAGGCAGAAGCTGACAGATCTCTGTGAGTTCAAAATCAACTTGGTTTACACAGCATGTTCCAAAATAAGTCAGCCAGGGTTACACCATGAGACCCTGTCTCACAAACAAACAAAAAGCAACACTTAACCACCATTGTCTCCATAGCTCCAGACTGATTCTTCATTAGGCATTTCTGGAACATTCTGCTATTACCTGATGTTTGAGAAAAAAAAATATCAACCAAAAATAGCGATCGCTTCCACTGTCCCACTTTATAAAATATTTTTATTCCTAACAGCCCAGCAAGGACTAAAATGCCCATTTAAAAATGCCGTGTGTGCTCTTGGGGGAGGGTCTAGGCCCTGCCCTGGATGAAATGACAGACTATGGACACCCCCATGGAGGGCCTCACCCTCCCTGGGGAAATGAAGGGATAATGAGGGGGTTTGGGGGAGGGCATGGGAGGAGGGGGAGGGAAAGGGAGAGGGACCTGGAACTGACTTGTGAAGCAACCTTGTTTCTAATCTAAATTTAAACTTAAAAATAAATAATAATAATAAAAATGCCGTGTGTGATGTTTAACAGAAGAAAGTTAAAGTCAGAAAACCCTATTTTGAATGTAACAAATTGTCGTAGGGTTACTATGGCTGTAACGAGCCACCATGAGCAAAAGCAAGTCGGGGAGGGATGGGTTTGTTTCTCTTCCGCCTCCGCATCACAGTGCATCACCAGAGGCAGTCAGGGCAGGAACTTGGAGGCTGGAGCTGAAGCAAAGGCCATGGAGGAGTGCTGCTTACTGGCTTGTCCCTCATGGCTTGCTCATCCTGATTCCTTGCAGCACCCAGAGCCACCAGTCCAGGAGTCCCCCAACTCAGCGGTTCTCAACCTTACTAATGCTGTGACCCTTTAATACAGTTCCTGATGTTGTGGTGACCCCACAACCATAAAATTATTTTCCTTGCTGCTTTATAACTGTAATTCTGCTACTTTTACGAATCATAATATATTTTTGTAGATAGAGGTTTGCCTGTGGTGGCCCACAGGTTGAGAACCACTGCCTCACGTTAATCACTAAGAAAATATCACATGGTCTTGCTTACAGCCCAGTTTTATGGAGGCTCTGATGATTCTAGCCTGTGTCAAGTTGATATAAAACTAGCTGGCACATGGCTCCTCGACTAGTCATTAGACAAGGCTTACCAAAATAGTATTTCATATTGTTTTCTATGACTGATGCCTTGGGAAAATATATGCCTCAGGACAGCACCACATGGTCAGAGATCAGGCATGTAAAGAGGAAGCCTTCACTTTGAAGAGTGGAAAGAAATGTTATTCTAAACGAGAAGTTGAACAAAGCTACGAAAGAAAGTGAAGATCTGGTCATCATATCCTGTGCATTTCTCAGTAACCTATGTCAGCCTCATGGTGTCCATGCCTGGATCTGAAGACCAGTATCATTCCAACCTGACCATGTGAGCACAGAGTTGAAATTAAACATCCATTTAATAGCAAAGGGCTGTAGAAAGCTGGGTGTCCATCAGAGAGAATGGATGCAAATCAGTGGACTATGCACACAATCCGATACTCAGTTGTAATGGGATTGTAAGGGAACCGGAGCTTCAAGATGCTCACAGGTGTCTCACAGATGTACTGGGTCAGAAAGTCAGGTACAGGGACTGGCTCAGTGGCTCAGTGGGGAACAAGTTCTTGCTGCCAAGCTTGAGACCCTGAGTTCAATCCCAGGGATTCATATGGTAGGAGAAAACCAACTCCCTCAAATTGTCCCTTAGCTGTCACATGTGTATTGTGTAGAAGAGGGTGTTGGGTCTCCGGGAGCTGGGATTAGAGGCAGTTGCGCATTACCCTACATGGGTGCTTGGAACTCGAGTCAGTTCTTCTGCAAGAGCAAGCAGTGCTCTTAACCACTGAGCCGTCTCTCCAGCCAGCCCTGGGAGTAGTTAGTTTCTGCCTCTTATGATTAATGTCTGGACTGGCAGGCCGGGGTGAAGTACCCGTGAATGTGTGCTATTCCTAACTGTATGCTGTCATATTTCAGAATAGAGCCTGGAAAGAGTGAATGATGGCTCTGCGAGGGTCCCTGAATGCGAGCGTTGTAAGCAGGAGTGAAGTGAAACCGTGTGTAAGCTGCATCATCCAGAGTTTTTCCTGCCACTCCCACCAACAGCAAGGGTCAGCCAAAGGTATCTTGGTGGGCATTGCGGTTTGGCAGTGTTTACCGTTATCCTTTTCTGAGCCCGGTGGCCACTTGGTACCTCTCCTCTTGTTTAAACTTGCCTCTTACATTAGCCTTATGCACACTTGTCCACACTTGTGTGTGCGCGTGGGGGATGGTGTGCTTATGTGCATTGGGATTTTGTGTGTGTGCATGTGTCCCCCACTATCACTTTCCATCTTACCCTTATTCCCTTGAGACAGGGCCTCCAACTGAACCTGAAATTCACTAGTCCACCCCTCCCCTACTTCCCACTAGGCTGCCTGGACAGTCAGTAAGTCCCAGTAAGCCCTGGTGGTTCTCTTACTATCCCTCATCCAAATCACACACACACACACCCCGCCACGTACCCTTGGTGCTGGGGTCCAAAATCTGGTCTTCTTGCTTGCAAAGCAAGCACTCTTATTCACTGAGTTATCTTTCTAGCTTTATATGTGGGATTTGTGGGTCCCAGGAATGATGTTTTCTACCCTGCATGTCGTTCTTAGAAGTTTGACTCACTTAGTACACACACACACACACACACACACACACACACACACACACACGTACCCACGTGCCCACACACGCATGAGTCATAAAGATTTTAATTTCAGCTGTGCCCTTGCTGGTTTTATAAACTGGGTGATGTACTCCTCAGTGTGGCCTAGGAGTCCCACTGTCAGATGAGCAAGGTGGGATAGAAGAATTCCAAGGGCCCCATGGGTGTTGTCTGCAGGGATCTGTAACCTCCTCACGGGGCATATCTGAACCAGAAGAGACTGTGTGGTTATATCCATAGATAAGAGGAGTTGTCTCTGAGAACTCCCTATGCCCCTCATTTTCCCTCCGTTTCTCCTGACTCACACGCCTCCCCTTCCCTCTCCTATTCCCTCATCTCCCACCTGATTTTGCCCACCTACTGTATTTCTGACAGCGGAGGAAATCTGTGAATGGCCAAAGAGTTCGACTTATTACAGCCAAAGAGACGAGCCTGGCGGTGGGAAACGCTGATCAACTTGAGCACAAACTGTCTTGGCTCCCGACTGCCCTTTCCTGGAACGGTGTGCCTCAGTTGCCTGCTTATTCTGACGGGTTCTATTCTCCAAATCCCATTTCTATACCGCTTCCCACCACAACCCTCTCAGTCTTACGCTGCAAAAAGAACTTTCCCAAG